CCATGCAAGCTTTGAGACTAAAATTTTGCCAGTGCGTCCCCCAGCCAAGTGCCACCCCAGGACCACAGTATCAACTCTCATACACGTCTGGGCCCCGCGTACGAGCACGTGAAAGTTTTGGCGCGAAAATTGTTAACTTGAGAACGAGAAAAGCCAGAACCTTGGGGGAATGTCCCCTACCTGTGTGTGACAAAAAGATTTCAAATTCAGTCGCTCAGGACTGCCCGGGGGTTACGTAGGGGCACGTGAAAACTATGGCGGGAAAATTCACAACTCCGGAATGAGAAAAGTTGAAAGTTGAAACTTTGGAGGAATGTTCCCTACTCATGTGCGACCAAAAGTTTTCAAACTCAGCTCCTTAAGGCAGCCCGGAGTTCACGTACGGGCACGTGAAAATTTTCTGCGCGAAAATTACTAACTCGGGGACGCGAAAAGCTAGAAAGCTGAAACTTTAAGGGAATGTTCCCTACTCATGTTCGAATCAAATTAGGTGTTTAGAAGCGCTCGGGGCCCGCATACGAGCACATGGAAATGTTAAGGGAATATTTAGAAGTGCCTGGGGCCCACGTACGAGCACGTGGAAATTTTGGCGCGAAAATTACTAACTTTAAGGGAATGTTACTAACTTTAAGGGAATGTGCGAAAATTACTAACTTTAAGGGAATGTTCCCTACTCATGTTCGAATCAAATCAGGTGTTTAGAAGCGCTCGGGGCCCGCATACGAGCACATGGAAATTTTGGCGCGAAAATCACTAACCCAGAAACGGGAGAAGCTAGAAAGCTGAAACGTTGGGGGAACGTTCCCTACTTATGTACGAGCAAAACCAGGTGTTTAAGAGCGCCCGGGGCCCCCATACGAGCACATGGAAATTTTGGCGCGAAAATTACTAGCCCAGGAATGGGAGAAGCTAGAAAGCTGAAACTTTGGGGGAATGTTCTCTACTCATATGCGAGTAAAATCACGCGTTTAGGAGCGCCCGCGACCCACATACGAGTGCGTTGAAATTTTGGTACGAAAATTACTAACCCGAGAACGGAAAGAGCTAGAAGGCTGAAACTTTAAGGGAATGTTCCCCACTCATGTACGAGCAAAATCAAGTGTTTAGAAGCGCGCTAGATCGTGGAAATTTTGGCGCAAAATTACTAACCCGGGAACAATGAAAGCTAGAAAGCTGAAACTTTAAGGGAATGTCCCCTACCCAGTATGAGCAAAATCAGGTGTTTAGAAGTGCCTGGGGCCCACGTACGAGCACGTGGAAATTTTGGCGCGAAAATTACTAACTCGGGGACGCGAAAAGCCAGAAAGCTGAAACCTTAAGGGAATGTTCTTCACTCATGTTGTACGAGCAAATTCAAGCGTTTAGAAGCACCCGGGCCCACGTACTAGCTCGTGGAAATTTTGGCGTGAAAATTACTAACCCGGGAATGGGAAAAGCTAGAAAGCTGAAACTTTCGGGGAATGTTTCATACTTATGTCTGACCAAAACCAAATGTTTATAAGCACCCGGGGCCCTCGTACAGGCACATGGAAATTTTGGCGCGATATCACTAACTCGCTAACGACAAAAGCTAGAAGGCTGAAACTTTAGGATAATGTTCCCTCCTCATGCATGACCAAAAGATTTTAAAATCAGCTTCTTAAAACTGTCCGGTAATCACGTACGAACACGTGAAAATTTAGGTGGGAAAATTGCCAATTCGGGAACGAGATAAGCTGCAGGCTTTAATTTTAACGGAATTTTCCCTACTTATGTGCGACTAAAAACCCATGTGCGACTAAAAGATTTCAAATTTAGCTCTTCTAGTGTGGCCTTTTTGCGGACCAGCACCTTTCCATTTGTCGGGTCACTGAAGCCGATATCTATAACTGACATACCACATAGTTGCATAATTCGCTTCCTGAACTTCGAGGGCCAGTGTGTCACAGGGTTAGCTACTGTGATTCCTTGCGATCTTGCTACGGCACGAGACATGCAAAAACGCATAATCGCACCGGCCCGCCTGGTACGTTCCAGCCTGGGTTTGAAAACGATCGCTCGAGCAATACTTCCACTTTTTAGTGAACTAGAAATTTGCATTATTTCAAAAAATTTGCACTTGTCATTTTTTCACAAAGCGAGCATTTACCGAAAAAATGACCGGA